TGTATGAGATTTGACAGATTACTGACGTTTGTCAAAGTTAAAGTAAGATGGTGCAACCCAGCCTTGGAAAATGCAAACAAATGACATTCGATTTAACCGCAATATAGCGGATTGTTCGTGTCCGCAAAAATAATTTCAAACTTGGAACACCTCCCCATGTGACCGCAAATCGGTGCCAGCACTGGCAGCTAAGTGAGAACGCGCTAAGAAATGGAATGATTTATCCGATTTTCAAATTCGAATTCTACAACTAGTGCTGGGACATGCAACGGAATTGAATCTTTTCATTTTCCGCCGGGAAATGAACGCCCTTTGCCCTTGATTTGAAAGTAGATTGGATGAAAAAACTAGATTTAGAAAAAGATATAGCAAAGAAGAGACTTAGAGAATTGACTCGCGTTGCGGAATTAATATAAAAAAAGTTTAGTGAGACTACTTAGAAATAAATAGTAGGTACTGGTCCATTTTATAAATAATCGTAAATTAAATGTTTTGCGAAAAAAAAAACCTTTTTTTGGTAAAATAACTTTTTAAAAGTAAAAAAGAATTGGTTGTTGAACGACTTTTAAAATACAGGGTGTTTGGCGCATCGTGTGCCAAAATGATTTGGCGGATAGAATGGGTCATTTCCTATATTTTCAGCCCCCATAACACGTTCCATGCCAGGCGGCTACTTTTATATTATTTTTTTTAGTAATTTCACCAAAATACCCAAATCGCATCATTTAATTTCGATTTAAAAAAAGCTAGTAGGCGTAGCCTCAAAGTAAATATTTTTGTTTTGACGTGCATTGATGTAGGGTTGCACCAAATCTAAATTTACTGGAAAATATCATCTAGTTTTTTTTTTAATTAAGCTTTGAAGTTTTTAGAAAAGTTAAAAATGGACTAAACATTTAAGTTTACATGGCTATAAAAAAATAAATAAAAGAGATAGCGATCTTCGGATTTTATCAAAACTTCTCTAGTCTATCCCCATTTAAACGGTATACTAATCTTGTTTAAATAATAACAATAACTTCACAAATTCCTTAAATTAGTGCATTGACTCTACTCGGACTGATTTCCGAAATTTGTGTTTAAAGCCCCTTTTGTGTGAATAGCACGTTAACAGGTAACAATTATTTATCTTATGCAATGTAAAAACCTTTACCCTATCGTTTTTCAATGTGGATTTCTTGAAATTAAAGACGAAAATAATTATTTTGATCGTTTATTAATTATTACAAATTTTGTTAATGCGATGGGCGGTCTGGCTTTTGGTGAGGCGGCTTGGTTTTTCTTAGTTCTACTGCTACAAGACTAGCTTCATTGTTTTTCCAATTTTATGCTACTTTTCTTGATATCGTTGGTAGGACTGAGCGTTTCTGTGATGAGACGGTTGGTCTGGCCTTTGGTGAGATGTCTTGGTTCTTGTACTGCTGCTAGGCTATCTTCATTTTTTCCTGAGGTCTGTGTTAGGTAGGTACTGAGTTATTGACCTCTTCTTCTTTGTTTACATGTTCCGGGTCAGATATTTCTTGATTCATTTCTTATTTCTTTGTGTCATAATTAAGTTCTCTCTTTTCTATTTCTTGGATAGTAGATGAATAAATTTTTGTTCCATTTATCCACAACCTCTGAAAAACTTGTCATTTTTTTTTTTAATAATAACTACGGCGATAACTGTGGTTTTGGGTTTTTGTCGTCTTCTTTGTTTCTAGTGTTTCTTGTGCTGCTTTTCTTATATATTTTTATTGTGGGTTAATTTAGTCTTCTCTCTTTCGTTTCTTGGATTGTGCTTTATGCGGTAAGCGGACGGCGGGCCACTAAAAACGGCATTTTTAGGAGCGTGTTCATATTTTCCTAACATTAAACGGTTCGCCTTGGTGTAATCTAATATGATTTCTTTTTAGTTCAATGATCTTTATGCAGGGTGATTGTTACATTGGGTTTCTTCCATGGTTTCCATTAGGTTTTTATTTCTTCACTGTTTCGTTGATTTTTTTCGGTGGATATTTTTTATTTCTTTTAGTACTTAAATTATTTTCCGATGTCTTCAAGATATCTATGATATTGTCCTCTCGAGGCAAAAGACATTGCTAACTGCCTCGTTGGATTAGGTTTTTATGCTCTTGGTTTTCCGACGAGGTTATAGAGCAGAGCTTGTTGAGCTGTATGTGTACACTGTAGGTTCACCTTAAATTGCTTGCAATCTGCAGTTTCTTATTGGAATAGGTACGTAGTTTCTGCAATCGATTTGAATATTTTGTGGTTCCTATAAGATTACATTATTAAATGGTCAATGGCATAGTTTTGGTTCCAGTTTTCGAGTTTTCTTGCTATTATATGAGTTTTTTAGGTGGAGTATCTCTCTTCTGTCTATGATGAAGACCCTTTGCAAAATTCCTTGACTTCTCAGTGCATTTAAGTCTCTTAAAACTTTAGTATGTTCGGTTACTCTTTCAATTTTCCGATTCCGGTAAGCTGATGTTCTATCTGATAGTATTTATCTACGCATGTGTAAATATGGCAGTAAATCCTGATTCTTTTGGGTTCAAAATTTCTTAAATGATTTTCCAGGTACCTGGTCTGCTCTTTGATTGGTGATTCACTTGTTTCATCCACTAGGTATATTTCTCTCTTTAAAATGTACAAGATCTTGTCTGGCCGCTTTTAGATCAAGTCTGGGATACATAGGTTCATTGAATTGGTAAGCTCTTTCTCAAAGTCGATATTTTNATTTTGGCGCACGATGCGCCAAACACCCTGTATATCCACAGATTAATAAAGTTAACATTTTGCGTCAAAAAGTAATTATTTTATTCATTCAGCAAACCGTGTAGAAAATGACTCAATTATTCACACCGTTCACCGAGTGTAATTTTAATACTGATTTACCAACCGCGATATGCATCTAATATGCAGTCGAATTACATATAGGTGATGGCAGTAGGGATACCAACCTTTTTTGGGTTCTCGGACAAGTTGGGAAAAAAAACAACAAGCTTGCGGTCGGTCAAAGTTTTTGTTGAATGTCATATCGTAGAGTAATAACTTTAAGTTGTTTACGATACGATACGATAGTGCCGACCCAGCCAGGACGAGGCCTGTCCCGGTCAAACCGGTATACCAGGGGGCACGATTTTAAGGAAAGACACGCTCTGGGATGGGAGAGGACGGCCGACTAGCCGCTGTNGACATGCAGATGTGATGTGACTATTAGCTTTTTTCGCAAAGCAAAGGATCTCTGTTGTTTCAATTTTTTTTTGTGTGTCCATCTACTAATGGTAGTGCAATAGTGAAGTTAAATTTTACTGCTTTTGGAAACTTTTTATGGCGACCAGATGTTGACCCTTCTTGGTACGCGCTTTGAAATTTTGTGCAATAGATGTCTTTTATAGAATGTGTTTGGTGAAAGTTTTGTAGGGATCTTTCTTTGTTATCAATTATTATTTATACCTACTATAGTGACATGCAAGAAGTAGAATACATGTAGACATGTAATGTGGAATCTGTATGTATCAAAATTATTAATAAAAAAATAAGTTTATGGACCAAAAGTTAGAGCTAATCATTTGACAAACTACGATCTATGTTACATATTTTTAAATGAAAATAATTATGCGTTTGCTTTGGTGCTTTTGGCAAGATAATTGACACCAAATATTTATAAAGAAAGAAAGATAAGGAAAGATCTCACCGGGTTTCGTCGGATTAGTTTTCTAGGCTTTTAGCTTAGGCGCTGTGCTGGTCACTGTGTACTCGAAGCTTTTTTCCTCACCTACAGTTTTTCTCACTCAAAAATAAGTACCACTAATTTTTACACAGCTGACTATGTTAATAATTAATCGCGACTATGATTTCGGGTAACTCTCACTGTTAGAACATTTGGGTTTCACCGTCGCGTCGGCGTCAAACGCCATAGGGCTTTGTAAGTGCCTTTTAGGGTCGGACCGTCTGGAGCGCACGTGTTGCGCACGTCCACTTCCGAAGGCTGCGTGTTTATCGAAAAATACCTAAAAGCCCCGAGATTTACCTACTCGATGACTGCAGATTTTGTCAACCGAAAGCTACGCATAAAGTAGCTATAATCTTAGTCTTTATGGTGTCCCATATCCCATTGCACTACTCTTTCTTTCTTTCTTCTATAGATTATGACACCAAAGGACTATCCCAAAGAAAATAACGCTTGGTGGTATCCTACAGAACCCTCCCCGAGTGTAGGGTTACACTGACCATAGACTTTGACGTATTCAAGAGTCGCCCATTATTTCGGACTTTTTAGGGTCCAATCCAAACCCGTTCTACAATTTGAATTACAATAACATAGAGGATTACAAGAGTATTAGAGAATGCAAAACGCAAAGCTAAAAGATAGGTACAGTCGAGTTCATTAATATACTATTGGCAGTGCCAATGTTGCAAAATATTGTTAGAGTTCTAACGATTATAATATGTCAATAAAAACTCAAATATCAATGAAATGTAATCATTAAAATTGTTCATTAACATGTTGCGGTAGCGCAGCTTTGTCTGCACTACTGCCAATAAATTTATGAACTCGACTGTATCTACTATATTTATTTTTATTTTATTTTATTAGTTATTATATTCATAACATATTCTACTAGCTTTCCGCCCGCGGCTTCGCCCGCGTGGAATTTTGTCTGTCACAGAAAAACTTTATCGCGCGCGTCCCTGTTTCAAAAACCGGGATAAAAACTATCCTATGTTCTTTCCCGGGACTCAAACTATCTCTATGCCAAATTTCATCAAAATCGGTTGCAAGGTTTAAGCGGGAAAGCGTAACAGACAGACAGACAGACAGACAGACAGACAGACAGACAGAGTTACTTTCGCATTTATAATATTAGTTGGGATAGTTGGGATGTATAAATTCAAATATTATTCATTATAAAACGCAAAACAAAAATTAAACCGTAGAGTCAAGGTTAAATAAATACCATTAAAAGGTTAATTTTTTTTTCCGTATTCGCGAAACATCAAAACCAGTCTTGGATCCATCCTGGCGATCTGAGTATAAATAGTGCCCACTTTGAGTTTTCACTGCCATATCGTTACTGCAACTTGGAACAAACCGCGATGATGTTTGTAAGTGTTCGATTTTCTTATTTTCTTATTGTCTTAATTGTTTATTCATAAACCTCACACTGGATGTGTTCTGCGATCAGGTGAATGTGAACCAGCTCGCATCATGTATAGACGAGAGAACAACATTGTCTGTCAGGGCAATCTAGTCAGGACAATCTGTCAACGGTGCGGTTTGCGTTCTTCGCTCATGCCCGCGCAGTCATACATACCGCATACAAACAAAATGTAGAGACCGACAATGTTGTTCATACATGATGCGGGCTGCGGATCACTTTGACCTGACCGCAGACCGCATCCAGTATGGCAAATCCTTGAAAATCATTTATAACTGTCCTTGGACATTTTAAGCCGCACCGCGCACGCGCACTGAAAATTCGCGCTATCGTGAAGTGTGTAGCCAAGTATTCGCCTATTAATTATGATTTTTGCATAGTCGCAAGACCTATATTCACCAACGGACGTCCTTCGGCTGAAAGTATCATGCTTGTTCCAGAATCCTACTATACTGACGTTGGGGCTGCTGTTAGGGATTGCAATCCGGTCCGGCGGATCCGGTAATCCGGCGGATCCGGTGTGTTTTTGGACCTACCGGATCCGGTGAGTCGGCGCCGGATCCGGTGGCGGATCCGGTAAAGCAAAAAAATACGCAAACGTGAACTGGGAAAGTCGAGCGCGCGCGCATTTGCCAGATCGCTAGACGTGTCGCGACACTACATTGCATTTTCCTTTGCAAAAAATAAATGCTTCTTGTTTTATTGTTTCTTAGGAGTCAGATTGTTTCTTAAAAAGAACTTAAGTTGAATTTATAAGTAGAAATTTAAAAGACTGTTTTGTTGATTTAAGTCTGTGTAGATTATTAATAAGAGTTTAATAGTATAGTATTATTACTTAAGTACTTTCAGATACTTACATACAGCAATAAGTGATAGTCAGACTGATTACTAACTTTATTATTTAGAATTTTCATAATTTTATTAGTACAAATAGTAGGTACATACCAAAAATTACAATTACCTAATACCGAAAAATAAAAATAAGTGACTTTATTTTCCATAAATACGTATTTTATTTTTCTTTGTATGTACTATTATCAAAACTAAAAATCACTAAATACTATACCAAGTAACTTTGCAATCCGGCCGGATGCGGCCGGATTAGCGTCAATCCGGTGAAATCCGGCCGGATTGAAAATGATACCGGATTGCAATCCCTAGCTGCTGTTCTGTGCTTTCATGGCGTACGTCTCCGCGCATCCCGATTCAGTGCCACCACTTCTGTTGAGAATTCTTTTAGGAACATTATCAAAGCCAGTAGATTAAAACACAAAAAAGCAAGTCGGAATTAGGTAATTCCTTCAAAAGCTTTTGGCTTCATTTGAAAATTCACGCTATCGTACGTGTCATTACGTGTGGCCAAGTATTTCCGATATGATTTTTGCATAGTCGCAAGGCCTATATTGGGGCAAACACATCCTCAGCCCACAAGATGTGAAACATATCGCCCCCCAAACGATACTGCACTACTTAATGGATGCAGGACTCGGAGGCGAACTGTAAGGAAATAGTGGCGATCACAAAAGATCGGTGCCGGTCGTAGTGATACTAGGACTTCATAGAACCAGAACAGCCGCTCAACGCAATAAAGGCTTATATTCAGTAACGGACGTCCTCTCACGGCTGAAATGATGATGATAAATTATCTTGCTTGTTCCAGAAACCTACTATACTGACGTTGGGGCTGCTCTTGTGTGCTTTCCTGGCATACGCCTCTGCCCGGCCCGATTCACTGCCGCCACCACATGTGTTGGGAGGTCTTTTACTATCAAAACTTATCGAATAGGCAAATCGGAATAAATTCCTTCAAAAGCTTCCTTCGTTTCATTTGTTCCAATATGACAATCCTAAGTTTACATTCTTAAAAACTTTTGTAGAAATACGACAAATCTATTAATTAGAATATAAGTAGCGTTTAACATACTACCTATACATCTGTACAAAATGTAAAAAAACAGTTTCAATTACGCAATATAAATATTAACATTGCTGTATCATGAGTATGTTTTCCTTAATCAGTAACATAACTATTCCCCCAACCAGTCAGAAACAGTACAGTCAAGTATTTTTCAGTTAAAATCCTGTTATTTGTTAATCTAAGACTGTAACATAATTCTGGGAATTAACATAATCGAATCGGCCAGGCGTAAAACATTGTTCCCGGGGGCTCATGTAAAAATCAACAATTATAAAGAGAAGACCGCATTGCTATTCGTCTTACATACACGGCTCTTATTTCAAGGGCATAAAGTTAAAAATGTCATGCGCAACTGTATGCTTTGATATGAATGCCAGTAGCTACGTTGTCAAAATTCAAAGAAGTGTGTACGCACCCTAAGGCGAGGTCAATGACCTTATAGGTAGTGAATTTGGGTTGAGTATTTTATTTGTCTTTCTACCTAGATTTAAAATATTTACAAACTTCATCTCCCAGTACTAGTAGTAAGACAAAGTTCATCTCACTCTGTGCTTTCGCGTAGTAATAAGATTTTAAATTAGACAGTTTATAAAAAGACTTCATCATCATCATACTGATTATCATATCATACCATTAATATACTAAACGTAGATAATTTAATTACCGTTGTCACCGTACCGCGTTTCAAACCATTAAAATTAGCACAACGTCCATTCCCACTCGAACTGTGAAAAGCTATAAATAATCCAGTTGGTTTATCAGAAAAAAATGTAATAAAAACAACGTTCAAAACGCGTGGTGGAGTAATAAAACGGGCAATAATGCGCGAATAAAACGACTGGCCAAATTGAAAGAGAGACAGTTTTATTCACAGGTAAAATATGGGATGAATTACGTTTGCCACAATGACCAGGCAAAAAGAGGGAATACAGCTATGTTTCCTACCATAGATAACAGAATGGCTATAAAAAATAGCAAAAATCGTGATAATAAACTTGGAAAAACATACCAATCAATGAATGAATTAGATTCATAAAAGATATTCTATTCCATTGTGTTGATCATAGCAACAACTGACTGAAGCCGATTGAGTGTCAGACCCACTTTTCTCAATAAGATGGGTTCAGTTAAAATCTTAATCTAAATGAAAAGTAATTAATAAGTCATATCCTGATTGTGAGAGAATTCTCATTACGTTAAAGAGGATCTGATAAACGTAGTTTGCTCTACCCCTTCAAGATATCATAAAGTAATGGAAGAAACTGTCACCATTGTCAGTCTTTTGATGAGCATTGAGTGATAGCTTGGAAGAAGAATAGATCATGGTGAAATGAGGTTAGGTGACCCAGATTGTTCGATTCCCACTAAATTCACCTAAAAACAAATAACATCTGTGTCCTAGCCTTGTCCTTCCAATCTAGTTCACGGTTCTCAATTACTGGACAAACATATGGCACGTATACTGGATGCAGTTATCCATCTGGAATAATTTATAGCCGATGATAAAATAATTCCAACATTGACAAGGGGCGTATTGAAACACGAGGATTCCAAAATGCATTGTCCTATCGCCATCTTTTTTTCTGTAACAGTCATTATAAAAACAAACTTTTTCTGCTACCGTCGCTAGCGATTCTGCTTTGGGGCCATCATTCATCAATGTATCATGCCAAACAGCTTTACAAATTCAACTTTAACACAATAAGTGTGAAGTTGAAAATTGAAACCAGTTTGGTTTTAGATGTTATCAAGTTTTTGTCACGTTACAGTGCTAATGGCAGTGTGAAAAAGCGTCGGATGATAAAGGGAGCATATGGCTTTTTAAATACACAATCTTATCGATCCATAGATAAGTTCAAATGGAAATCTAATTGATTTTACATCCAATTAAGTCTCAATGGACTTTGGAAGTGATATATTGATTAGAAGCCCTAAGGGAGCGTAATGGTATAGTTAGACAATCCTTTCTGTTAATTAGCAAAGTCTATCAAAGTTGTTAACGTGTTTTGAGTGATCGATAATACTAGGTAATTGAGAATTATTGGAGACCGACAATTCTGAAATAATCAAGAAACTAACCTGAAATGTTATTAGATTTGAAATAGACTACAAAATCTTAATAATAAGTGGTCATGCTCGTGCCGTACATTCAGAACCAGTTCAATTCGAAAGAAACTATAATTGCTACTTCGATCTACGCCTATTTAAATCATGACATCTGCTTCTTTCATTTTGCATTTGTCACTTTGTGTATTTCTAACGATTTCATTCAAACTAAAATTGACCGGATGTCCATTTTGTCCAGTTAATTGACCCTCTTTGAAATGTTTCTTTATTTACATCTAAACTAGTTTAATGTCTATAAGAAAGTTATGTGGAATGGACACAGATATTGGCATAGGTTTGCAAGCGCGTGCCATGGCGTATCCCGGATGATGGAGAATTTCTGAGACAAAGCGATCTGAGATCAAATGGTCATTCTAAATATTCAGGTCATCTTTGCAGAAACATAGACCAACAGTGGAGCCCGCTGCTGATAATACGATGCATTTATCACCGTCAGGCGTATCAATACAATCGGGAGTCTGGACTGGCTGGACCATTCTGATTACTGGGTCAAATATGTTGACTGTCAATAATAGATGAGCGGAGGTAGGAACTGTATAAAATTGTCTGATCTTTAGATTTGCAGGAACGGTTTCTAAAATTCTACAGGACTTTATAGGTATTTGATTTGAGGAATGGTGTACCCACCCCCACCTTTGCAAGTAAAAATTTTTGCATGGGAGTTCTTAGACTCCCTTTTTATTATTTGATAACATTTATGTTTAGCTGTTTTTCATTTCACGGAATTAGGTCGATCTGAAAGTAGTTATTGGGATTTATTAGATTCAATCAAGATGGGACAGCGCCCAAATATCCTGAACCTACTACTTTTCCCTAAGAAAGGCCATTACAAGTCCAAGAAGACATTATTCTCAATTACCTCGTTCCAAACACAATAACATTTTGGCAGAGCAGTCCGTTCGACACGATAGGTCACCAACGAGTGCCCGCCTTTATCCCCAAAATGCTAACGCGGTTTTCGCTACACAAATATTTGGAATGATCTAAGTAGTCGGCAGAATTTGTGTATGGAAATCCTTACTGTTCATTCGTTTTAGCCAAATTACATCCACTACTGGACATAGGCTGCCCCTATGGGTTTCGACAGCGACCGGTCCTGTGTTGCACACATCCAGGAACTAAGCGCGACCTTCACCAGATCTTCGGTCCGTCTAGAGGGGAGGCCTTGAAATCATTGTTGGACGTCAAAACTAGTCATGATTTAATCACCAGTTTAGTATATTTACATGTAACTAATCAACGTGACTATTTTTGGTAAGGGAGTGTTGAGTGGCCCTTCTGCTTACATGCTCTATAATGTCAAGTAATAAAGTCAAGGTCTCACCCTTATTTTCTTAAAGAAATGAGGCGGCAACAGTTTTTTGCCGTGGACACTACCTATAGGTAGTTAAAAAACGGCAAAGTAAAACACAGTTACGGCCGGTTAACTCCTTCGAAATGAGAAATTTCAAAAGTTAATTTGGTTTATGACTCGAGTCGCCAGTTAAATTATGTTTCTTGAAATTGAACCCGTTTTTTTACAGCTGGTAAACTATCACCAAAAACGTTACCACTTTTTTCAAGAATTCGGTTATTGATATTTGTTTTAGACGAAGTATCAAGGAATAGTATCATAGATAATATCACATCCTGTTCAACAGACCCAAAGGGCAAGTGCAATATCGTTCGCGGAACAATTTCGATGTATCGTCTTTAGCTATCGCTATCGGTTTTGCTAGAATTTCTACTCTTTCCTTTCTTTGCTTAAGTAACATTTACATAAAGTTTAAACGGACACGATTTGTTTTAACCAGTAATTATTGTCTTCACTCTCTGAATTTACGTTAATTAATCCTACTTCCTACTAATATTACTCGTATAAATGCGAAAGTTTGGATGTCTGGATGGATATTTGTTACTCATTCACGCAAAAACTACTGAACGGATTTTGATGAAACTTTACAGTATTATTGTTTATAACCCAGAATAACATATAGGCTATAATTTATGACGATATGTGACAAACTAAATTTCACGCGGGTGAAGCCGCGGGAAAAATATATAAATAACGTTATAAACCCTAAAATTCTCCTAACCAGACAAAACCGATTCCATAATTCCGTAACAGCGGTGAAATCTGTTAATTACGGATCCAACTGTATTGTTCATTTCCCGACGACAATTTGATAAGCAAAGCGAGGACAATTAAAATGTTTTAAAATTTAATATTTCTTAGATTGCTTTCCGTCGGAAATAATTAAGGACTGCCAGAGAAGTTGTTGGTAATTAAATCTCGAGCAACGGAGCATGTTAGTTAGTTTGTACAAACGAAATTAATTTTTAAAGTCGTTAGGCCTTTGTCGTACTTGTTCAGACAGCACATCAGATTTTTTGTTGCAAAATAGACCGTATCACAAGGAGATAAGACGCCATGTTGTTTAGCTTACTGTCGTCCGCACCAGAGGGAAGGGAAACTGAATAAAAAGTGTCGTAATTAGAGGACTGGATTGAGTTAATTATAATAAGGACGCTATGATAACTCTTAAATAAGAAAGAACTAACTTTTATTAAAGCAAGTGTAAGAAGAAATCTACACTAATATTATAAAGAGGAAAGATTTGATTTTTGTTTGTTCCTAAGCTACTGGACTGATTTAAAAAATTCTTTCACAATTTAGAACCCTATATTGTAAATGTAAAACATAACTTTAGTATTATTCGAACCGAAATCCTAGATATGCTTCGTCCGAGAGATAAGTTCCAAGTAATATGCCACAGGTCTTCAAAGTGT